AAAAATCCCCCCTCTGTGAACGTGTGCGCGGCAGCGCGTATGAGAAGAAGGGGAGACTTCGCCCGCACCTCTATCAGTCTGCCCTGCATCTTTCCACCGGACCGCAGTGGATACAGCCGACTGTACACGAGTGCGTCTGACATACAGCACAATGTAAAATAGGTGTTTTCTACAGAGAGGGTTTCACAGGTACGTTTGTTTGGAGGAGCACCGCACAAAGCGCGATCGTTCCCTGGCTTTTTCCTCCGCGCTCGCTCTTACCTCAGCCGCAGCCCGTAAGTGGGATGCGGGATACGCAGCATCACCGGTGCCGTTAGAATAATCCCAACAGATAAACCTTGCAGTTCAGCGGGCCTATCAGATTTTAAGGCAACTGGTTTTCTAAAGGCTGAGCAGGGAGAGTAAAACTGCTCGCTGGTGTGTGTGGGGGGAAGAAAAAGACACTGCTTTTCTCCGGGAGATAAAGTGAGGAGGGATTTTCCAACTAACGGGGATGTGGCTGTTTTTCCACTGTCCTATAAAGCGGGAAATGATTTGGTCATCCAAAGATCAGATTTAAACTGGACTGCTCTTGATCTTATCAGTAACGCATTTTATCTGCCCGTTTATCTGCCCTGGGAATCTCGGTGGTGGAGGGAGACGCGGAGCAAGATCCAGAGAACTATACAGAGGAAAACTGAGTTACTCTTCAATTACGCTTTTTCTTGCAAATTGACGTATTTCTGGGCAGCGGACGTAATGCAAAAGTAAGGGAGAATATTGGAAACGCAGACAAGACGCAGCACAGGTAAGGGAAACTGCTTATTAAGATGTGAAGAGAGCAATATATGCAGCAACAGAAACCATTCTTAACGGGTTTAACGGCAGTTGGGGGGGGAAAAGCAAGAAGCTGTAAGATGCGGCAACGAATGACTAAACATTTAATGCTGCTGGATCTGTAGATCAGAAGTTAAGGCACGGACTATTCTGTGGTCACTACTTAAACGGGGGGTTTAACCTGTCTGATACCAAATACTTAAGCTGGCGATTTGTACCCTGTGAGTCTGTATGTTACTGGTTTTAATGAGCCAGTTGCGTTGGTGAACTGGAGCCTAATTGTTGCACGCTGGGCTGAATGGAAACTGTCCTTGTGCAGCAGTGACTTGAGAGCGCGGCTCAATAAGCAATCAAACATCATTTGCTGGATACGAGGCAGAAGTCGCAGACGTTTCAGTCGTGACGAATGACAGGAGAAAGTATTCACTTTAAGTGGGCTGATTCAGACCAAGTGTTAAATTCACCAAGGGTGTGATCAATAGGCTGACTGCTCTACTCCAGTTAGATGCTGATTTATGCTCTTTACAGACTTGGAGTGATAAACTTGTACTCGTTCGTTTTTTTGTTATGTTTTATTTTTAATTACACGGGAATAAAGAAGGGACGGATGAACGTGAAGATGAAATGAGATACACAGAAGGAGATGGCTAAAAAAAACACACGCACTCATTTTTGGCTCCACCTTGTGGTTCAGTTTGGTGCCTGAGTTTGACTCTGCCCGTAGCATCCTCAGACTTTTTATGTTATTTATAGCATGATGGTAGAAAAAACCCCGACTTATTATAGTCTCTTATAATTAATGTGATGTGCAGTGATGCAGTGCTTAATGGAAATGTGTGCTCGGTGTGACCAGAGATAATGGCGGGTCACAGTTACAAACAGGGTAAAAAAAAGAGCTGTTTTGCTTCTGTCCATTAAAGACTTCACAGTCTCTTCGTGTCACAAAGACAGGCGTCTATTTTCAATTCCACAGGTCTTGTGTTATGTGGCTTTGCCTTCCACAGCATCAATGCAACCCATTGAGAAGTAATTTATGATAAATTGTACTTTATTTTCTTTTAAAAATATATCATTTCGGCTGAGCTTTTTTTTTTTTTTTTTTTTTTTTTTTTTTTTGCCATTTTGCAAAAATAAAATAGTTCCTGAGAACTTGATTGGCAGGCACAAGGTAACCACCTGTTTGTGCCAGCTGATGTTTGCATTTCTGCAAGCTCAAGTACTTTTTTGTTGATCTCAGAATGAGTAAATGCTTCATCCATAACCACAAACTGCTTAGCTGGCTCTCCCTCTTGTTATAAGTCAGATATTTGTGCAACAGAATCAATTTCACGTTCATAATTTTATCTGTAGCTTGGCAATTCAAGTTCACGGGATTTGGATGCCAAGTGCTACAGCTGATGCCTGAAAAGAACACTTTAGTTTGACAGCCCATAACTGGGATTGTAGATACTCTTGGAAAGGTTTATATGTAATCACAAACTGGGTACATATGAACTATTTATTGTGCTGCAAGTTATAATTCAGATTTTGTTCCAAGCGATATAGTGTTTGGGGGCAGACAGTCATTCAAATAACTGGTCAGTACTGCCAGGTAGCTAAATTATACATACACATCCACCCTAGACAGGTTGCCAGTCTGTCACAGGGCTGACACATGGAGAAACAGAAAGATTCACCTCTACAGCCAATTTAGAATCACCAACCTTAACTCTTGCACATCTTTGGACTGTAGAAGGAAGCCCACAGGAGTACAGGGAGAACATGAAAATTCCACACAGATTGCTGTATATCACTTACTGTACAAAACTCTCAATCCACTGTGTGTTTTTCTGTCTAGGTATGCTTTTACTGCATAGCTGTGTGTTTGGGATTGTCATGCTGAAAAAAGTTTGTCACAGTCTGGCACTTTCCAGATGGTATTGCACGGTGGATTCAAATCTGATGGCACTTTTCTTTGTTCATAATTCCACCAATTTAGACAACTGGCTGAAATGTAGCACTTGCCACAATTTGCAGGTGGCTGTAGTCAGTCACTGTTTTACCTTTCTCCATACCCCCATCATATAACAATTGACTAGAATTTGAACTTAAAATTTCAAATTTGGATTCATCACTCCATGAGACCTGTTGCCACTCATTTAGTCTAGTTGTTGTGTAATTTGGCATACTGCTGCTTTTTCTCCATTTCCCTTTCTTAAGAATGGCTTGTTGACAACCACCCTTCCACTGAGACCTGATGAAGCTTAAGTGACTGTATCGGGTCTGATTTTTTCTTATGGACATGACTTTTAGACACTATTCATCTGCTCCAGATGAGATGCCTTTTTTTGTTCTTGAATTATTCACAATTAAGTGTTAAGTGGCTTAAGAGACAGATATTTCCTCTAAAAAAGGTCAGGTGCAAGGACTGAAAAAGGAAAAAACTTTAAAAAACATTCAGAAATGTTGGGGAATTACTGCTCAAGACCGCTTTAAAAAATGACAAAAATGTATGCTTAGAAGTAATGAGAGGTGGCTCAGGATTTATTGCACAGATAACGACTGTCAAACACATGTACAAACCTTTAGACACTGATCTTCAGCTAAAATAAGCATTTATTAGTGTACTTGGATTATAAACCTTCACACTTCATGCAAGTTCCACTCCTAGGCTTGGGGTATAGCATTTTCTCTAATTTGCTGTGGGTTTGTATCATTAAATCAAGCAGGACATGTTCAGGTGCTTTCAGCAGAGTATGTGTCATTTTCACCAAGATTATTTGAACACTTAAAAGTGTGGGTGATATGCACATTTTGTTTGAAAAGCTTACTCCATTAGGCTAAATTTAGGAAAATTATGTTCAGCCTTCAGAATCAGAATCAGAATACTTTATTGATCCTTGGGGGAAATTATTTTGTACTGGAGATGTATCCCCTCATCACCTGCAGACTAAAAGTTCAGTGTGAATCTAGTGAGTGTATGACTGCCTATTCGAACCTCATTTTAAACCCTAATGACTAAATTAGCCGCAAGCATTCTCCTGGGCTAATGCTAATATTAGCCGCAATTAGCATCTCGCTAAGCATTTAGCTAAATTTAGCAGCAAAGCTGCACATATTCTGACTACAGTGAATTTCATATATATAATTTATATGCTACTGTGGAAGGTTGTTCATTTTATCCAGTTTGTTTTTCATTGCCAAAACAATGCTAAAAGCTTTTAGGGATTAAAACAACCAACTGATGTTCATTAATTGTTGTTGTTTTTGTTTTTTTTAACTGCCCTCTTATGCATACAAAGCAAGCTGAAACAGCTTCAGGTCTAGTGGAATTTATTTTGAGATAATCTTCTCACATTTCACCCTCACCTCTTCCTTTTAATCTTCCAACACTGCCAAACTGTATTCCTTTAGCCTCATATGCATGAAAAGCAAGCATATGTTGGGTATAATTTTGTTATGACTTGGCTTGGTAGGACTTCAGTGGTGCCTTTAATTCATTTAAATGTCTCCATTTACTGTTAAGCTTAACTATCCACCTGTGACAGATTAAAATAAAAAATAATTCAGTTTGGTTATATCCAACCCAATTCAGCTTCAGGTCTCCACAAACCAGGTTTTTCCAGGTCCCAGAACAGCTGCACAGGAGTGGCCCACAGGTAAAGTCTCTGTCACAGATGTTTGAAAGTGAGTGGGAGGATTCCACTTGGATTCTCACACAGATGTGGATTTCTATTTTTAGTGTCGTGGGTTAAGGCGCGATGGTTCTGTTTTTGTGTCGCACCAGGAGAAGGTGTGCATGCTGGTCAATTACACAATTTTATTTGGTCAAATTCAACTCCTCTGCTTGCGTTTGTAAATTTCATGGCTGTGCTTCATGGTTTCATTTCTGAGATGGGTGGAGTGCAGCTCACTTTACCTCTCGCTGGCTTCTATTTATTTGTTTGTGTTCTCCGGAGTTCGCTTGTTTGCGGCGGGGTGCGTTACAAAACAGTTCCAATGATTTTATAGCGCACCGCGGGGCAGTTTACAGCAGTTTTTCAGTATATTTTGGGTCTACATTGGTCTTTTGTTGCGGTGGAGACACACTGCAGACCTTAATTTTGACTTTTTACTGTCGATATATCTTATTGTTTGTTATGCACTTATTAATAGCTCTCACATTATCCATTTTATATGCATACCTCCTGTAATTTATGTAACATTTACAGCTGGGCCATGAGCCACATTTTTCTCACAGACTGTTATTCGCTGACCTCTAGACTAGGATAAGTGAATTTATGTTCTAACACGGGCTCCAATTACTGAAAAGCCGCCCCGGTTAGCTGCAGCACTGATAATACTCTAGAAATTCCTAAATTAAGAATTTTGTAGTGATGAATATTTATGACTATGGTAATTCAAGGGCCTTCATTTGCTACAGCTTTTTAAAGGGTACACGATTACTAGCAAAACAAATAATGATTATTATGGTAGCAGTGCTTTAGAGGGAAGGGTGAACACCTCATTTGCAGTAACAAGAGCCTGCTATTTATTGAAATGTTCATTGTAATCTAACAGATGAACACGTCGGCACAAATGGATACAAATTCTGCTGAGAATTATTGTTGTTGGGTCGGTGAGAGGTCAGGCAGAGGAAGGAAGTACAGCATCTACTAAAAAATTTATTATCGTCAATTGGTGACCCATGTTTTTAATTTTTAAGAATTTCTGCTTTCACACACTGTGGTCAGTCAGTGTTTATATGGACAGCATTTAAATCTGCTGGGATGCTTGTGTTTGCTGTCCTTCTTGTTAGATACACAAGTTCATCTCCTTGTTAATGCAAATATCTGATCAGCCAATCACATGGTGGCAATTCAAAGCTTTTAGGCACATAGACGTGGTCAAGATGACCTGCTGAAGTTCAAATTGAACATCACAATGGGGAATGGTTGTTAGTCTGAGTATTTCAAAAGATGCTGATCTTCTGGGATTTTCCTGCACAATCAT